CTCAGCTTCTAAAGGAAAGCCGAAAGCAAGTGTCAGTCTCACACAGCTTTGGGTGTTTCTGGTTAGCAAACACAGCCTCACTCCTGATTCTTGCCTGCTTTGCCTAGAAAGGTGTTGCAGCCACTGGGGACAGGACATGCTTGGGACGTTGAGGTTTCCACTATGAGCAGCAAGTGTACTCAGGAATTGTCCTAATTTAGTCTTTGGTGGTGTGGCCTCGGCACACGGTCTTTTCTCAAGGCTCTGAGTGACAATTACTGTCCCGTCCTGCAACATCGGACAGGCCAGGTGTGGTCCCCAGCACTCGAGGGATCCAGGGGATGTTAAGCCCCTCCCTTCCCGGGCTGCCCAGTGGTACTCTGTGGCTGCTACTGGCTGCCAGAGGAGTTCGGCCCCCAGCATCTGTCCCTGGCTTGGCTGGCTGTCCCCTCGGTGACAGGACCTGGGGTCTCCTCTGGGACAGATGGGCACCTGCTTGCTCTTCAGGATCACCTGAGAGCTGGGCTCAGCATCCAACCCCCACAGAATCTTGGGCTCCAGGGATTCCCTGGAAGGAGCAACCCCAAGAGGCTCATGGTGTGAAGCTGCTCCCAGTGAACCCAGAGAAAGGACACGGTCTGCGTCCTGGAGTCAGGGCAGGGCCTGCTCTGTCGCTTGTCTCTCTCCAGTGCTCACCCAGCAGGTGGGTGCCCTTTGCTGAGCACCTACTGTGCGCCAGGCTCTCAAAGCACCTGGAGCCTCCGTGGGGCTCCTGGCTTTGTTGTGTGTTAGGATCACTTGGATACCCTGAGCCCCTGAGTCCTGGCTGTCCAAGACCCCATAGTCAACCTTCTGGGTGGGTAGGAGGGATTTCTCAAGCCACAGGATGCTAACGTGACACACCCTTGGCTGAGAAGGGGTGAGACAGGGCCATAGAAAGTTCAGTGGTGATTCCTACCAGAGCTCATTGGGTCCCATCTTACAGATGGGGAAACTGAGTCACAGAGGTGGTGAGAGAGGCTGGATGGTCTCTGCCTTTCTCCTACATCTATGTGTTCTCCTTTTCTCCCAGCACTTATAATTTTTCTTTCTTTCCTTCATTCCCACTTTCTCTTTTTTCTTTCTCTTCTCCTTCCTCTCCCTTTTACTTCCCTCCTTCCCCTTCTCCTTTTCTTTCTCTTTCCTTTCTTTCTTTTTCTTGCTGGGGATTGAATCCAAGTTCTCACACATGCTAGGCAAGTGCTTTATCACTAAGTTACACATCCAGCCCGATAATTTTACTTTAAATGGCATTGTCTGCCCTGCCAGAACTGTGTATCCTCCTCCAATCATGAAGAAGGCCCCACTTAGTCACTAGTATGTACTTAGAAGACTGTTTGGGGTTTTCTGGTTTGGGTATCACACCTCAGAACATTTCTAATGAGACCCTGTTGTTGGAAGGAAACAAAGTCTCTTATCCATTCATCCATCACAGCTAGGTCATCCTGGAAGTGTCTGTCCATCTTACCCTCCTCCACATCCCACCTACCCAGGCCCTGCCTACAATGAGCTTCTATAGTGAGACACCTGGGCCTTGAAGATGCTCTGGCCTGGGACTGCCCTGCCACCTGCTGCTCTCTGCCTCCCAGGATTAGGAGCCCCACCCTTTATGGCCTACAGTTCTTCACATCTCCCCTGCTCATGGCCACCCTTTGTTGTCTGTCCTTTGTCCTGCCTTAACCTTCCTGAGGTCTCAGAGGCCTTCCTGTGGCCCCCAAGTTACTCCCTCCACCTTCCTGGGCTCTGTTCTCCCACTTATCTGCTGTTCCCACTAGCCTAGGGGACACTCAGAGAGGGGGCCTGGCTGCATTAGACCTCAGTATAGGACAGGCTGCCTGAGCCCCTCAGAAGAAGATATGCCCCAATAGTACCTTGAGCTGGGCTTCTAATAGGTAAGGCCAGGCCCTTATTCTACCTAGTGAACTTCAGTGGGCCCTAATGTGAGCAGAGGCAGCAGGGCTAGCCCTGCCTTCCTCCCTCCACAGATATTTCTTGAGCACCTACTATCTGCTGAAGCTCCTGGGCAGGACCATTGTGCCCATCTTGCAGATGAGCAAACTGATGATGTGTCCTATAGCTTCATTTCATGGAGCAGGTATGTGCCTACAGGTGCCTGCTACCAGCTCAGGCTGGGGAACTGGGCCGGATAGACTGGGGGAAATGTCTGATGCAGGGGCTCCATGCACTGGGACACCAGGAAATACCAAAGCTTGAGAAGCTAGGGTGAGAGCTGTGTGGTGGAGTCTTCCTTCTGTAGCCTTGAGCAGTTATTAAAAGTTGAGAAGGGGGCCAGGGATTTAGCTCAGTGGTTCCGTCGCCTGCCTCGCAAATGCAAAGTCCCGAGTTTGATCCCCGGTACCAGAAAAAAAAAAAAAAGTTGAGAAGTATCTGTGCTAGACCTCAATGTTGTCATCTGTGAATGCAGTATCATTCATGCCCACATGGCCAGTAGCCCTTTGAGACAGCTGTTCTAGGCACCAAAGGCCTAGACAGCTGTTCTAGGCAATGCTGTATCGTGGCCCTGTACCCAAGCATTCAGAGTATTCTTCTACAGCCTTGGCTCATGGAGTCTCAGGACAACTAACAAGGCTACAGTTGACACTTGTTTTCCTTGTCTTAGTACCAGGAAGAGGCTCAGAGATGTGTAGTAACCTGGCTAAGGGCACACAAAGGATTCCTTCAAAGTCTTGGCTTCCAAGTTCCATTCAAAGAATCCCCAAGCTCCACCTGCTGGAATCCCAAGACCTGTACCTGATGCCAGGTGAGATTCTTTGCACAAGGGACAGGGTCCTTGTCCAGGACCTGTGGACTCTAATGGTGATGGGCTGGTATAGGAACTGAGTTCTCCATCATGGGAAGTGTGTTAGCAGGACTATGTGAAATCATGCCTAGGAACTCACCATAGAGAGACTGGTCGGAGACAGGTTCTACCCTGTCCCCCACAGCCTAGATTCCTCCCCCTGATTTGTGGGTGTAGCCATACTTCATATATACTTCACGTATACCAGTGTGGGTGGGCCACAGCTGTGGGTGCTGATGAGAACAGCTGATTGTCTCCTCCAGCATCAGTCAGGCATAATGCCACATGCCATCCCTAGTGTGGCCTGCTGGAAGCAAGAGGAAGTCAGCTTGTGGGCCCCAGTACATACTTGCCTCCATCCTATCTCGGAGTTCCCTTGGTCAAGCCTGAACATACTCATCACAGACAGGCCTGTGTGCAGGGTGTCCTTTCTGGACTGACCAAGTCTAGGAGGATTTGGCAGCCCTTAAGGAGGATAAGCCAGGATGACCAGTCCATTCTGCAAGTTGGGATACCAAGACTTAGGAAGGCCTAGAATTTGCCCAAGGTCACTCAGAATTCCAGGGACAAAGTTGGGAGCCTTTAGCATGTACAAGAACCATGGAGGGACTCTCATCCACCTCCCTCCCCTTCCTTACACCCTCGTCTGAGATGCAGCTCAGAGTCCTGCCTCCAAGGCTGCTCCAAGGCCGTGGCATCTGCTGTTCTGCTTTCTGCTTGTATGACTCTATGCTCATGCATGTCTTGAAAGGTAGATGTGGGATTAGATAGTATAAATTAACAGGCAGGTGCCAAATGCTTAGCCCAGTGCCAAACACACTGTTTAACCATGAGAGATCTCTGGGGAGAAAGTCCTGATTTGAGATGTTTGTCGATTTCTTTTTTTTTTTTGGTACCAGGGATCGAACTGCGGTCCTTGTGCATGCGAGGCAGGCAGCGGAACCACTGAACTAAATCCCCAGCCTGTCAATTTCTGTAGCGTAAATATTTCCAGTATTGCCCGCTTCAGGCCACAGAGCAGTGCCACTGCACTCAGACCCGGAAGAGATGTGTCTGGTAGTCTTCACGAGCCACGTCCAACTGGCGCCAGCACCTGCTGCCAGCTCCCAGCAGGGTCCCGGAAGTCCTGCTGCTCTGCGTGACAGCTAGGTTGGCATAAGCTTCCCTCTAATTGTGAAGGCTTGGTATTGCTTTTGCTGGCTTTTAGATCACATGAGTTGATCTGTGCTGAGGGCCCCAGGCCCAGCTGCTCATGGACACGCCTTTGGCCCTAAAGGGCAGTATGTGTCTGACAGGGTGCCACACCAGGGGGTGGGGACTGAGATGAGAGCACTGTGGCATCTCCCTTGTGCCCTGGTTTCCTCATCTGGGAGAAGGTGCTGTGACTATGTGCCGAGGTCACAGGGGGCTGGGTGAGGGCGAGGTGTTAGCTCAAGGTGGTGCCTGGGCCGGGGATTTAGCTCAGTGGTTTTGCCACCTGTTGCGCAAGCGCAAGGACCCGAGTTTGATCCCTGGTGCAAAAAAAAAAGAAAGCATCAAGGCAGTGCCTGGCAGAGGGCTCAGAAGAGAGTGTGGTCACCGACACTGGTGCACCCCTGCAGGAAGGTTCTGAGATGACCAGGAGCAGGGGCTGTCAGTGGGCAGAAGTCACAGAAGGCTCCCTAGGAGGAGGGAGGAGGCGGGGGTGGGGTGCAATGTGGAGCACTGGAAAACTCTCCATGCCCCCATTCGAGGAATCCCAGGGACACTTCCGTCTCAGGAAGTCCAGGATTTAAGCAGATAATTTCCGCCTTGCATGGGCACAATGATCACTGGTACCCCACAGATCTTGGGACTATAGCGAGGCCAGGAAGGACAATCCAATCCCCGTCTTTGCCTAGCTCAAGCTTGAGTTCCGGAGGTAGGGTGCCCTGCACCTTCTAGCCTGCCCATCCTGTCCTGACACAGGTTCCCAACCCTGTAACGGTGGAGCAGGGAGTTGTTGCCGCTTCCCAGGGACAAACGGGGTCCTCCATGGCCGATAGCCCGGTGGACCGTTCCAAAGAGCTTTAGAGGCCCTGAGTTCGGCCAGAGCCAGCAGGAAGCCGCCGCAGGTGACCCTCGGACCCGCAGCCAGGTGGGCGTGCCAGGCCCCGCCCCCTCCCCGGGCGGGGAGAGCGGAGGCCCCGCCCTCCCGCGCGACAGGTCTGAGCCAGTGGTGGAGCGGAGGCGCGCGGAGCCGGCAGGAGCACGCGGGAGCGCGGCCCCGCAGCAGTCGGGACCGCAGGAGCTGAGCAGCGTCGCGACCCCAGCCCCAGCGTAGACTACGCCACAGCGCAGACTCGGCCCCGGGCGTGGACCCCAGCCTCGGAGCGCGGCTTCGCCCGCCGCTCCCGGTCGGGCCACCGGCCGCGGGCATGGATGGTGCCCGCTCGCCCTGTGAGTGCCGGTCCCCGCCGCCCGCTGCCTTTGTGTGCGCACCGCGCCGCCGCAGCCCCTCCTCGCGCCCCCCTCCCGCGCCCCGGGCCGCGTCCTTTGTGGAGCCACCGCCCGGCCGGCCGGTGCCTCCTCGTCCCTACTGCAGCTTCCCCCGGGACAGCCCCGAACCCCCCCCGCAGGCCGGGGCTGGGCCGGGCGAGGGCCCCCTTTTCAAGCCTCCTCCCCGGCCCTCGGGGACTCCCAGCAGGTCCGCCCTCCCGGGGTCCCAAGGACAGCCCGGGGCAGGCCCTCTCCCTGGCCCGGGGCTGAGCGAGGTGAGAAGGGCCCCTTCCGAGCCGAGCTCCCCTATCCCGTCTGCAGCCCCTCTCCAGCCTCGCGGCCCCTCCGCGGCCAGTCCGGGCAGGTGCAGCGGCCGGCGCTCACGCGGGCCCTTGTGTTCTTGGCCCGCAGAAATGGACGGCGATGGCGGCGGCCGAGACGCCCCCGGCGCGCTGATGGAGGCCGGGCGCGGCGCGGGGCCGGCGGGCATGGCGGAGCCGCGGGTAAAGGCGACGCGGCCCGGGCCCCAGCGCTTCCTGCGGCGCAGCGTGGTGGAGTCGGACCAGGAGGAGCCGCCGGGCCTAGAGGCGGCCGAGGCAGCCCCTGCGCAGCCCCCGCAACCCCTGCAGCGCCGGGTGCTCCTGCTCTGCAAGACTCGCCGCCTCATCGCCGAGCGCGCCCGCGGCCGCCCTACCGCCCCCGCTCCCGCCGCGCCCGCCTCGCAGCCCGGCGCCCCCTTGGACCCGGGTCCGGAGCCTGCGGGCGAGCAGGAGCCCAGCCCGGACCCCGTTGTCGCCGCTGCTGCCGCCGAGGCCCCCGACTGCGGCCCGCGGGAAGAGGAGGAGGGAGCGGCGGCCGCGAAGCAGGAGGACGACGGAGCTACCGAGGCGAAGCCTGAGCCTGGGCGTGCTCGTAAGGATGAGCCTGAAGAGGAAGATGACGATGAGGACGACCTCAAGGCCGTGGCCACCTCCCTGGATGGCCGCTTCCTTAAGTTCGACATCGAGCTGGGCCGGGGTTCCTTCAAGACGGTGTACAAAGGACTGGACACCGAGACCTGGGTGGAGGTGGCCTGGTGTGAACTGCAGGTGAGGGCGTGCCGCTCGCAGGTGGGCTCTCCTCGAGTGTCCTTGGGCGCGTCATGGCCTAGCACAGGGCTTTAGGCGGCCCTGGGGACGGTGGGGGCGGCCGGGTTTGTGTGTCACCCTCTGTGTGGGTGGCAGGCAAGACTCCTTGGCCGACATGGGAGATACCTGCTCTGTGTCTGTGCACAGGTGGGAATTGTTAGCTTGGTTGGACCCTGAGGTCAAGCCTTGGCTGTGTTGTGTAAATGTGCCCACTGCAGGAGGGCGCTGTCAGCCCTGCTCCTGGTAGTGTCCTCAAAACCCACTTTACTGATCCAGTAGAGCCAAGACCGAGATGTGGGGGGTTCAAGGCCTGTGTCCTAGGGGGATTTGGCAGCTCCCGAATCCCTTAAATTAGCACCTTCTTGTATCCTGAAGAGTGTGGATTGTGGCAGCTATGAGTGCTATCAGGGGCTTCCTCTGACTCAGAGGTATGACCTGAGGCCACTGGGGCCACTGGGCAAGGCTTAGAAGCCCTGTCTGGGGTCAGGGATTTAGCTCAGTGGTTACGGCACCTGCCTCGAAAATACAAGATCCCGAGTTCAATCCCCTGTACCAAAAAAAAAAAAAAAGAAGAAGAAGAAGAAGCCCTGTCTGTAGCCTTTTGGTGCTCTCAGGGCTCTGGATGGGTGAGAGATCCTAAAGCTAAGTCATCCAAATGCCCCCTGCATTTTCCCCTTCCTTTCCTCCTCCTCGGGTGCAGAGGCTCTGGGCATGCATTTTTCATAACCTTGCCCTCATGTTGGCTGTGTCAGCTGGGGCCCTGGGAGATTATATAAATGGCAATCCTAGCTGTCCTGGGCCAGCCATGGAAGGGGAGGCACTGGTTGTCACAGGGGTGTTTACAGGCCCTCCCTGGCTGGGAGGGGGCAGCTGTCAGGCAGGGGCGGGCCTGGGAGCACTGGCTGAAGGTGTAAGCCTACCCTGCTGGCCTGTAACGTTAGCCAGCCTTCCAGGGGTGACAAAGACCAGCAGGCCAGGGCAAACTGGATGCCAGGGCCATTGGCCACACTGCAGGACGCCTGCGTTTTTGGCCCAGAAATGGGATTCAGTTGCTGTGTCCTCCAGCCCTTGCAGGGTGAACTGTGTGTGCGTTCAGGCCACGATAATGTGGGGGGTGTCGGGCTTTTGTCAGCCCTTATCATAGGACAAAGAACCCCAGAAGTCTGGCCTTCCCACTGCCCCTTGGTTCTGCCATAGAAATGGGCCAGGGGTGTCCTTTGGAGTCTTTCAGGAGAGGCTGAGGAGCTCTCCTCCCTCCTGCCCTGCAGGTTCCAGAGCTTGCAGAGAGGTGGCTTTGATGGCACAGAGCGCAGGTGGGTGGGGCAGGGTCTGTGGCTTGCTGGCTATCTGTCCTTGCTATAGAAGGTGGGAGAGGGATTTATGAAGGAGGAGAATGGCATGGGCTTTGGCCACCCACCTTCTTGCTCTTGCCAGATGACCAGTGTGACTTTCTGAGCACCCACGGGTGCTGCTGTTGTGGAGTGCCACCGTGGGTGGAGGACTGAGCAAAGGGGCTGCAGCAGGCTGGATATGAGTTAGACCTCTGCAGCTTAAGCCTGCTGATCTGGCGGAGGAACTGCAGGCGCATGTGACTCTCAGAGCTTGTTAATTCCCCTTCCCTTTAAGGCAAGGCCAGCAGTCTGTGCCTGCCCATGGTGGGCAGGGCAGTAGGGGGTGGGACCTGGCTTCCGTCCAGGGGTCTTTTGCTCCTTGGCTGTAGATAGGAGTGGGAAGGCTGGGGGTGGCTTTGGGACCATAGTGCTATTACTTGCTTGGGATTTAATGAAGCCCCCTAGACCATGAGGAAACTGTCTCCATATCTTCTCAGAGAGGTACTGCCGTGCTCATCGGAGGCTGATATGCATCCTTTGGGCTCACCACCCTCTGCCTGGGCCAGTCTGGGAGAGTTTTACATGACAGGTCTGGATAACCTTAGAGGAGGACCCCTCGCTGAGAACCTGCTGTGTGCCACGCCTGTGTTGGAAGCCTCCTCATCACTAGCCATGAAGATGGTGGGGACATGGAGTGACCCCCTGAGGTCACAGATGGAAGGGACATTTTGGGATTAAGGGAGGAGACACTGTCCTGATTAGAGAGTGCATGCCAGCTTTGTGCAGAGTCATGGGAGAGGCAACCTTTTGGTGTCCAGGATGTGGGGCAGGGCTGAGTAGGGTGGGGTGGGGAGCAGAGATCTTGCCTGCAGTAGGCTCCCCAGATCAGGGAGAGGTTGAGGGAGTGGGATTTCTCCAGGAAGAGGGGCACAGGGTCAGGTCTCACCTACTAACAGCAGAGGGACTGCTCTGCTCTGGAAGGGTGATAGGTGGGCACTCCTTTACCAGGCACGTGATGGGTTGGCTGTGTTCCTGAGGAGGGGCCCTCTTATTCCAGTGTGGAGATGTTCAACCTGTGCCTTGGTTCCCAAGCTTTTCTTAGCACTGAGGATGGGGTCCTGAGAGTCTGGATTTGCTTGTGGAGGAGGGAGGGTCTGTTGGGCCATTGCCTTTAGCCAGGGGAGTGTCATGGAGGCCTCTGTTCCTCTCTTCCTCATACCCAGGTGCCTCAGCACAGTGTGGCCTCCCTCTGTTTATCCAGGTGCTTGTGGTTGGCTGTTCTCCCTGCCTGTGGCAGGGGGCTTGTGGGCCCTGAGATCTCCCTGGAGTACTGAGAGAAGCATTGCCTGCTGGCTCTTTCCAGGGTTCCCTGCCAAGGGGCAAACACGCTTCCCTAGTGAGTGTGGTTTAGAGGACATATGATTTTCCTCAGTGACTTCCTGTTGAAAGAGTGTTGTGGGGAGAGTTTATCTCACATCCAAGGGCAGCGGGATGTCTCACCTTCTGAATCTCCAGATATTCAAAGCTGAAACTTGAACTGTTTTATTGGAAGAGGGCGACCATTTAAAAATATTACTCCCCTGTCATTTGTCTTTTCAATGAGTTTTATTCCAGCATGTTACAGCAATACCAGAAGTAAAAATGCCCGAGAATACCACCTGCCCTCCTCTTCTCTCCCCCTTCCCATGTTCCTGTGGCCGTCTTTGGCCAGCTCTGGTCCTGCACAGACCCCTGTTCTGTCAGCATCTGAGATAGCGTAGTGTCCCCTGTTCCTCATGGGAGTAGTTGTCTACCTGCTGTGGCACACCTGGATGCTCTGGGAGGCAGTTCTGGGTCCTACCTAGGCGTCCACCTCCTCTGCAAAGCCCAGTGCTGGGGGTGGTGAGGTCGAGACACATGCCTGGCATGGCATGGCCACAGCACGGGGATAATGGGGGTGCCCAGCTTGGTGTGGCCACGCCATAGCGAAGTGGGAGTCCTGGCATGGCGTGGCCATGGTTGAGTGATGGAGGGATGTGGTGTGACACCATACCACCTCTTGCTTGGCTCTCTCCTGTTGGTCAGCATAGCCTGGTCCCCTCTCTTTGGTGTTGTGCCTCTGCGTCTTCCTTATTCTTCCTGGCTACCTAGGTGGTTACATTGATGCTGTCTCCTGTGACTCAGAGCTCCCCTTCCCTCTAGGGGCCACCAGAACATGACCCCAGAGCCCAGGCCTTTGTCAGGGGGCTGTCAGGGGCAGCTTTTTGGCCTTTCCTGCTCCTGCCATGTCTCCACTAGGGATCTGGAAGGGAGTGTTTTCACTCCCATGTTTATACATTCCCAATCATTATCCCCTGTCAGGAAATCCACGGTCCCAGGCCCTCATGCCACTGCCTCCTACAGAAGGCTGCTACTCTGCGCTGCCATTGCGGTGCTGGAACCTGTGTCCCCATGGTGGTTGTGGGGACCCTTGTATGGGCTGTGTGTATCATCTGTCCGTGACCTTTGACTCAGAGTACTTGCCTGACCCCACAGAGCAGTGTGAGTCCTCAAGAGGCTGGAGAGGTGGGTGCTTCTCCTCTCAGCCTTGCCTGAGCCTGGCTGGGCAGAAATGCAGGGAAGCAGGTCCCCGATGGAGAGATCACAAGAAGGGTCCTTCTGCTGTGCTGTGGGGTGGTGATGGCAGCTTGGAGAGCTCATGCAACCCAGCCAGAGATCTCAGGTCCCCTCTACCTGCCCCTGTTTGGGAATGGGTGACACCCTTGGTGGCTCACCAGAATGTGTCTGTGCCCTCACTGTCCATAGATGGTGACCGCTAAGTGTTCCACAGTCTTTCCCACAGCCCCACCATTGCCTGTGTGCCCCACCTTACCATGCAAGTGGGGTAGAGAGGCCAAGTGCACCTCCCAGGGCACTGATGGTCTCACAGAGACCTAGCCGTTGCCCTGTCTGTTTCCTTCCACCCTGTTGATGAGGGGATGGGGTTGGAGGGGGGCCAGCATCCCACCCCAGAGGAGCCCACGGTGCTCACTCCCTGGCAGGGACAGGACACCCTGAGAAGGCCCAGCCTGACTTGGCTGCTGGTCACCCTGCCTTTTCTATTTTAATGTTCCCAAAGTGCAGAGTTTTCGGTGGGGAGAGCTGTGTTTTGAAGTTGGTTAGATGGCAGCACCGAGTCTGTATTCTAAGGCAAGATGTTTTACGCTCCATGCTGACCTACTGTGGCTTTGGTTTAGTTGGTGAGAAGGGTTGGTGCTGGCAGTCTGGATGGCCTGTGAGGACGGCTGTCCTGCCAGGCACGGAGTGTGGGTGCCCCCACACTCAGGGTCCCCTCTTGCCCCCAAGGTGTGTGTGGTCAGGGATGATGGTTAGTGGCTCAAGCTGCTACTCCCAGTGGGGTGGGGGCCACAGGGAGGTCAGGCACTGCAGCTCATTCCCTATTGGAACCAGGTGCTCTGCAGCCGAACATGTGCCTTTGGGGTTGTTGTCCTGAGAGGCCCCGGTGTTTTGAGGTAGCTGGGTGAGCCGGATTCAGGGCCAGATCACTCTGTGACTCAGAGCATGGCTGTGTCGCCCTTCTAAGCCCTGAGCTGAAACCTCGGACCTCCTCACGATGAGGGACAAAGCAGCATGCACCGCTTGTTTGACATG